AATTCTTCACATGGTAACAGCATTTGGCAAGTAAATGTAAACCTTCACCCAACCACGGACTCCTACATCCCCCCTCCTCACCTCCAATTTACCCCAAGCCAAGGACCCTCCATTTCCAGCAACTGCCTTCTCCCATCTCTCCTCTCCTCTGGGGCCACCAGGGCTAAGTGACACCAAATTCACAGAAACCTCAAGCTCTTCTCCAGTCCCGCCCTCCCTCTGGGGTCAGGATTTCCTCAGCTCTCCTGCCCCAAGTGCAGCATTGGCTCCCCAGGTCTCTGCAGGGACACTGACAATAACACAGGGACCTCACAGGCACCCTTAACTTCTCATAGCACACACACACACACATTCTCTCACACAAACACATTCTCTCACTCTTTCTCTCATGCACACACACAAACTCTCTCACATACAGACACACATACTCTGTCTCTTACACACATATGCTTTCACACACACACACACACAAACACACTCACACACACAAATTCTCTCATGCACACACACTTTCACACACACACTCTCTATAACACACACTCTTTCACACACATTCTCTCTCTCATGCACACACTCTCACACACATTCTCTTTTTCACACACACTCTCTCACACACATTCTCTCTCTCTCTCTCTCTCACACACACACACACACACACACCCTATCTCTCTCCTGGCCCCAGCCCAGCACTCACCTCTCCGCTCCACAGTGAAGCTCTCACCAACCCCATAGTTGTGTCGGCAGTAGTTGTCCACCTGTCCCCGCTTCCGCTCCAGGAAGTCCTTCTGGCTGTTCCAGTACTTGGCATCCGGCCGCCCCAGCTCGCTCACCGCGCGGTACTCCCCCACTTCGCTGTCGAAGCGCGCGTACTCCTCCCGGTTGTAGAAGTATCTCTCCAGGAACCGCACCCGCTCCGTCCCGTTGGAGAAATGACACTCGTGTGAAACTTGCTCCAGGAAACGTGCTGTGGGGACAGGAACAACCCTCTCACCTGGTGGCCTCTGGGAGGAGACTGACTCACAGGGAGACCTGGGCGGGGGCGGGATGATGGGACACCAAGATGGAGACAGCAGGGCACAAGAAGGATGCCCATAGAGGACAAGACAGGGACACAAGTCATGTCCTTGTTTGTGTCCCTCATTACCACGACAACTCCGCCCCTGAGGACTTATCACCAGGACACCANCTGGAAAACTAGACAAATTCCATTGTACAACTCTTCACACACCAGTTGAGATTTCAACTTGTCAAAAGTGAAGTTTGGGCTATTAATGTTCCCTAGGATGACATCTGTAATGAAATATTTTGACCAAGGGATCATGATTCATGAACAGGTATAAATAGTTGTAAAGTTCTATGCTAAATGCAGTTTAAAGAGGCTTGAAATCCAGAGCTCTCTGAAAGAAGCCAGGATACAGGTTACTATAAAGCCTGTATTAATACAAACACTTTAACAAATGTTTGGCAAAGATTTGAGGCCATGCTCATGTTTGCAAGTGGAMTAACCAATGAAGATGGTATAAACCATCATACTGTTAATGAGAAACAAGTCACATGCATTTAAATGTATGATAAAAAGTTTATCAGATAAAAATCTAAAAAAGTAAGAAAATGTTGAAATTCTAAAAGTACTAAGTTTTGTCACTGAGGCCCCTGATGGGCACATCTCAATTGGTAGGAACATTGTARTAGGGACATTGGAAGCACAGGGGGAAAGATCCCAGAAGATGACATGGKAGAACARAAGATCAGTTACYYAGTATCCTTGAAMAATGKGCATTCACCATGGAGCTAGAAACTAGTGTGGCTTCCTCAGAGAGTTTYCCTAGGGAGACACTACTYAGACACTGAAGAGAGTRTTTAAATGTTARCCTGGAGAATGCTGCTTCATCTTTTGTGAATCTTATTCATTGAAACTATGAAAAACCCAACTCAACTTGCTGGTCATGACAGTAACAACCCTGATGGATCWAGTTTTCTGAGGTCCTCCAGCCACCGGCTACAACAGGTATGGTTTTGTTACAGTGCTCCATGCTGCCAGGCACCAGATGGATTTGGTCATCACTCTATTTTCCTCCCTAGTATAATAACTATATATTCTACATCACTAGCAGATATTGGCTGTTTCATTAATGACTTTTTGCATTGCCAGTCAGCAAATTATACACAGGGACCCTCTAAGTGCTTCCTTGTTAATAAATGGACACATCTGTCTGGTTCTCAAGTCCTCTCTCTTCTMTTCAGGCTCTTTGTTCTCCTACTTTAGGTCCAACTGGCCCCCTGAACACRGTCCTCCCCTGAGACCTGCCACTCACAATAGTCATCTCCATCCAGTCTTCACCTCTGCAGCTCCGACTCTCTTCACACAGACAGTCCAGTTTCCTAACTGAATACTCCACTAACTGCCAAGGTCAAGTCCACAGAACCCAGGGCTCACACCTCTCACATTCTCCTTCATCTGCCATGGTGTCTCACCACCACTAGCCACTACCTCCTCTTTGGAAAAGTCTCCTGTCTTATACTTCCATGCAACTCAGCTTTGGTTTTCCTCCAACATCACTGGTCCTCTGTCCCAGTCCCATTTGATGGTCCTGTTCTTGTTTTCCACACACAATCTCTTTCCCTGTGTAATCTTTTCAGATTTTGTGGAATTTAACACAAAATGGTGTCAATTCTGCCAGCAAATAGTCCTCTAGTTTTATCTTCACTCTCACTTCTGTCTCTCATGCCCACATCGACTTCTCGACAGAGTCACACATTTTAAAATCATCTGAATCTTAAGTTTAAAAAATTYATTTTTAACCACCTACTTGATGTCCTGACCTCCCTCAGTCTTCCCAGTCTTAATAAATATCACCATCTTCTACCTAGTTATGAAGACAAAATCCTCAGAAAGAAGTTTGATTTTCTACCCCCTCCTTAGTTTAATCTATTAACTACTTATGCAAAACCTCCCCAAAATGTCCATCTTATTTCATCATGCTCTTCGTCATGAGCACACTAAATGAAACCACAAGCCTGTCCTCCCTGGAGAATTCTACTGTGCTCTTAAATGGTCTCCTCAGCTCCACAAGTGAACCCAATAATCCAATCTCCATATAAAAGTTAGAATTATTTTAAACTTTATATAAATTGACTCTTCTTACAACTTTCCAGGAGCTTCTGAAATCRGTTTAAACAGCATTGGAATTTCTTACCCTTGCTCTTGGCACCTACTTGATTAGGCCCTTGACTTCCCYTTCATCTACCTCATCCTCTGGGACTTGAGGATACTCCCTCAGTCACTAAATGTCKAACTTAAGCGCAGCACACAGCTTTCCACTTTGGGGCCTATCCTCTGTTGCCTCTCCCTTCTCCCTTAGGTCTCCTCCTTACTCTCATCTCTTTATTCTTGTCTCAGCTAAATGCCTCTCTCTCAGGGATACTTCCTCATACCTAAACTGAARTTGGGTGGGTCCCCTTTCTCTCTGCTCTTTCACCCCAATGATGTCTTTATATTTTTCCCCTGAGTGCCTTTATTATTCTCTGTAATATTTTTCTTCATTAAATGTTTATTGGGTTATTGTCTTTCTCTCTGTAATTATGTAAGTTCCTGTAGACTAGAGGCTTTCTGTCTTATCAAATGGAATTTTTGGAGCTTAGAACAAACCCAGGACATAGTACTTAACACAGAAAAGTATCTGCGGCCTATATGAAACTACTGTGGTTCTGAGAATTGATCACTGTAGTATCCTGGAAAATAATAAGAGGTTCAAACATCAACACTCTTGTAGTCTGATGACACATTATATGACTTGTGTTTCCTGTGAAAAGTTGAGACAAACTTCCTCTTTTTTTCGGGGGRRGGGGGTACCAGGGATTGAACTCAGGAGCACTCAAACCACTGAGCCACATCCCATCCCTGTTTTGTATTTTATTTAGAGACAGGGTCTCACTGAGTTACTTAGCCACTC